ACGTCCAGCTTTTCACCCACCAGTACCCCCAAGTCCTTCTCGGCAGGGCTGCTCTCAATCCCTTCATCCCCCAGCCTGTACTGGTACTGGGGGTTGCCCCAACCCAGGTGCAGGACCTTGCACTTGGCCTTGTTAAACCTCATGAGGTTCATGCTGCTGTTAAGTAGTGGAGTCCCTCTACAGCTGTTTGGATTGCATTTGGAAATAAACAGATTAAAGAGTCGTTTGCATTAAATCTAAACTTTAGACAAAAATTGATATTGAACCTCTTTTCTGAGTGAGGAGGGTATCTCAGCTACTTAAGACAAGAAACTGAGCAGGAACAGTGTAATAATCTCTCACTCACTCCCATACCATGTGAGGAGAAAGATAAGCTGTGAAGGTTGTTTCCTTTTTTGATAACAGGTCCATCCTGGCAAGACAGATGGCAAGCCAGCAGAAGCTGAACAACTTTGCTATGCCAGTAGTGTGGTACGGAGCACAGTAGTTTATGAACCCCTGCCCCCCTGCCCGCTGGGCTGGGTAGGGGCCTGGCAGCCAGCCAAGGTCAACCCACCACACCATTTAATGAGTTTTACCTGTAATCAGGTTTGTCATGACATTCTGCCTAGATTTTATAAGATGTGGGTGCCAAAATCCCGTCTGTCAGTGGTGGCAGCAAAGGAGTGGCAGTACACTACCCAGTTCGGATACCTGCAGCCTGGCAAAGTAGGGGTGGTGGATAAGAGGAACTTAGGTGGGTGGCACGTACCAGCTATGGTAGTGTGCTCAGTGCTGCTTGGCTTGGAGAAGACTTGCTTCTTAGAAACCATTGCTCAGGGCTGCCTTTGAGCCGAAGAGCCAGTGGGAGTTGTAGAAATGCTGCTTTACTTGGAATACTTCTTCCAGCACAAAACCCAGGAGGATGGCTGTTTTATATGGCCGGGGTTACTGGGACTTAGCTGTTTTATCAGGGGATAGGCTTCACGGGCCTGAATAGCTCCCTTGCACTTCTTGTTTCAGGCCCGGTCATGGCTTCATCTCTACTTGCAAAAATCCTAGCAATTGAGGGAATCCTGCTCCCTCCTTGAAAGTAGCCATAGCACCCAGCAGTGCAGGGAGCAAACATCTTAGAGACTCATCAGACTTTTCACAGTCAGAAGAAAGAGAGCAGGGCCAGTGCGAACCAAGCAATGAAATAAACAGTTTGTAAAGCAGCTTTAAATTCTTTTAGCATATTTACTACTGTAAATGCACAGAAGAGTCTGATATTAGGTGAAGCCTGTGTCCAAGATGGAAACATCATTTAACAAAGGGAAATGAGAAGGTGGTCATTTCAGAAAGTATCACACACACAGAGGAAATTCTGCAGTTTAATGCCAGGTAAGAATAGACGGTTCAAATTTACAATCAATCAAGCATAATAATTTTTAACACCCAGCTCTGTTTTTCCAGGAAAACTATTTATGAAGTACAGAACTGTAAAGGTTTTTCTCTCTCAGCACTCATTAAAAATACTTTATACTGACAGCTTTCTGTAATCATTGCAAAGTCCCAGAAGATGTTTTTAATAGAAGCTTTCCTTTACCAAGCATCCTTTGCTTTGTATCAGCTGTCAGAGAATGACTAAGACCCTTTTGTAAAACAGACATGCCCAATTTGAAACAAACCCACGGCTCAGCAATGCAAGACAACACATTTACTCTTTCTGAGGAGAGAAGTTATTTTAAATTGGCTTCCTTGTTCCTCCCTAGAATCAACCGCTGTTGATTGAAGCGTGCTGTACCACAAATGCTAAATCACCATAACTTAAAGATATAAAGTTATGTTTTGATGTTGCAAGTATAAACATAACTCCTTTTTTAGTAGTTTTTTTCTAATGAATACTAAAGCCAACTCTGCTCAGGATCGGTTTGGGACTGTGTTATATGGGTGCACAAACACACTGTGATTAACAGGATATTTTTGAAGGGGCAAACAAGCCTTTGACAGCTAACTTCAGACTGGAATGAGCTTCCTGCTCATTCAGGTAGGTGGGATGTTTTTAGGCAAGGCCCATCCAACTTTTTGCCAGTTGTATGTATAAGCTGTACAGTAAATCAGCTGCCAGCACACTACTTTCATGAGGGAAAAATGATGGATAATGTGTAGAAATTAGGGTATATACAGTATATTGCTTTTCAAATAAATAACAATCACTCCATCAGTAATTCATATAACCAGTGTGTCTGTAACAGGGCACTTTATTAGCATGCCAGCGGTGCTCCGTGGAAATAAATAGGAACAATTCCAAGACTGCCAGGTCAGTACTTCACCACAACTACCTGCACAGTTCTGGTTTAAAAAAAAAAAAAAATCCCATGAAAGAAAAAGACAAAATCTTCCAGGAGCAAGAAACAGTAATTTGATCAGTGTTAAGGCAGCGTGTGGGAAGACGGCAGCAAAAGGTGCTTGCTGGAGAGAAACTACAGCTAGGGATCAGTGAGCAGATGGCTCCTTCCAGCAATCCTTGCAGTGAAGCTGAGCAGTCAGTCTCTTCCTACTGCTGCCATGACACTTCTCTGTGCGTACCACCAAGACAGATGCTGTTCCTAAGGAAACCTCGAGCAGAATATGCCAGCAAGCAGAAATTCAACACTTGCAAAGAACCGAAAGGTGCTTCCTTATTCTTATGGTGCCATAAGAATTTTTGCTATTTATAAAAACTTAAAAAAAAAAAAAGAAAAACAAAGGACCCTGAGACTGAGACCATCTCCTCTCATGGTTTTGTTGTACAGCCAACCAGTTTGTGGTGCCCAGTGAAGGAAATGTCTTTTTTTCAGGTCAATCGATCACTGCTGTGTGATGCTCCACTAGCTGTGTGGTGATTGAAGGGCTTTGTCAAGGAGTAGGAAAGAGCATGGAGGGAATGCGAAGCGTGAAAGCGTACTGCTTTGGCTGTGTAGATGCATGTGCACAGCCATACAGCTTGAATGGATCTATGGTGCTGCTGCAGCTGGCAATCAGAGAAGTTCCTTCCTGATTGGAGTGAGACATTTGGGACATGACCTGCTCCGGGGTCACATGAGGAATCAAGAGCTGCTGGGACTGATGATCCTGGATCCCACTCCCTTGCCATTGGCTTCAGTGCATGCAGCGCTCTTAATGTCCTTGAGTCAATGAGCTAGACAAGGATGGTGCCAACTGCAATGCTTGGAAAGGAAAGGCCTCAAAGCAGTGAAGCAGATGTTGTACCAACACCTTCTGAATACCCTTAAATTTCCTCCAGTCTTCCTGCTTTCATTAAATTTGTATCTTCTTTTCTCCACCTTTCCAACAGCAGTTCAGTAACCAGCAAAACGGCTGCCACCTCATTTCTTTGGTCTTAGCTACTGGAACTTAACTGGTAAACAGGGGAACTCTTCATTCCTCTCCAATTATGTCGATGCAATGTGCCAAGTGCAAATTGTTAATCTAAGCATATTTCAAATCACTTCAAAAGCACGAAGAAGGTGCAACTCCTTCCACTTTACAGACACAGGGAGAGATTAAGCATTGTACAGGAGACTCTGCTTTGATTTTTAGCAGAGTTCAGGATAAAATCCAATGTACTGGATCCCAGGTCTTCTGCTATAACTGTGGTGCCTCTTGGGCTTTTTCTAGAGTAGGGACTTAGAAGTGCATGAGAAGGATGTGTGAGATAATGAATGGTAATTAAAATCTATTGTAAATCTAGTGTACGCTTAACACCTGCTCCATTCATTGAACTTGAGCATGAAAAAAGCATTCTCAAAGATGAGTGAAAGGAAGTGTAATGTAGAATAGCAAGTGAAAGTGGGATGCTTCTTTGCAGATACTATTCACAGCAATCTGAAAACCACCAAATGGCTATGGAGCCCACATCTCATTTTAAGAAGTGACTGGAGGATGTCCCACAGGAGGGCAGTGAGGCAGCACCTGCTGACCATCAGTGGGACTTAGGCTCCTACCTGTCTTTGGGGTTTTGAAAAACAATTATACCCACTGAGTCACTGAACAAGGGCTGCCAATCCCAGGAGGTTTCAGGATGTACATTTTCTTTTAGCGAGATTCCAGCATAATGTAGACTCCATTTTTTGGTCCAAGTGTGGCTTTTGATTTCAGCTGCAAAGGAATCTGAAAGAAAAAAGAGCATCTTATGTACAGTTGTATGTATTTGTTTATGTGTGTATAACACCCCCACATACAGGCAGACATTTTTGCTGGGGGACCAATTCATACCAGGATTACTGTGGAAGCTGTAAAGTACTTGTTTTACAGTCAGCTGTGGTAGTATAATATTAAATAGAATTTACAGCCAGAGGCTGAGGCAGTGGTTGCCCAGGTATATTGTAGATCTGAACAGAAAGAAATTAACTCTGTAAACTCTAGAGCTGCTGAGTAAGTGCCAGGTGCAATACATACAGCAATAGGCATATACTAAAATGCTGAGATCCCATGAAGGATCTACACCCATTCTCTCCCTGTACAAATCAAGATATTTTGGCTGCAGTGTTGCTACAATGCTCTCCACTAAGGTAGGGGTGTGTAACTGTTTTGTTGGAAAAATCATAAAGGTTAAATCACATTTTGATTAAAACGTGCAGTCCAGGCCTCTTATCGCTCCTTATCATGGAAGTGGCTCTAGCAATTTTCTCAAATGAAGAGAAAGTCACAAAGGCAAGTATGCTGTCCTGTCTAGGACACACTGTCAACTCACTGATGTTGACAAGCATGGCTTTCAAGCCTCTGCATGTACAAACCTCAGTCTCTGAGCAGGTCTTAAATTGAAACTTCTGCAAAATCCTCAGCAGAGTCATTTTTGTCTCCAGCAAACCCATCTTCATGCCAATGCAGCCACGGGGTCCTGCCCCAAAGGGCAGGTATGCAAAGGGATGTCGTTCCTTCTTGGCCTCCTCTGTAAACCTAGAAGGTGCAGAGATGGAAGCTGGTTCAAAAAATGCTTTTTGCTCCTGATTCCATGTTTTTCATTTACATCTCAAAAGGTGGTTATTTCAATTGGTCTTAATGAACAGGTCAAGGTTACTATTGATGGATTACGTCGTGATGGGCCTGATGCCCTTAAGTAAACAGATAATTGACTTATGGCCATCAGCCTTTGTCAGCTGGTGATTCCAGGAGAGGACAGACAGGCATCAGTATTACTTCCAAACTGTCTTTAATGAATTGCCTTCATTCAATGACTGTGCTCAGAAGAATGATAACTTCAGGTGCAGACATGCTGGCTGTTTAGACCTTTGCATGTATGAGGGAGAGATTACAGCTAAGAGGAAACTAATGGGCTGCAATGTGAACTAACTAGAATTAGCAACAGCGCTTCCCTGCTGTGCACCGCAGAAGCAGATCAATAGGAATTTCTCTCTGAATCTTGCAAGGGGAGATGAAATCTCATGAGATTGGACAGGCCATGGAAGACAGCTATTACAATTCAGTACACCCTCTTGGCTCAAAGAGACCAGGTTCCCAGTTGGGAAACATTGAAATTGCAGACATTTCTGTTCTTAGAGTTGAAGTACCTCAGTCCAATTGGAAAGACTGATTAATGTGGCAGTCTGTATGCAGATCTGCATCAACTAGCTAGCTTTAAAATACTTGATCAACCCATTACAAATGAGTTGGTTTTTTTTTTTTTCTTACAAGGAAGGAAACAAAATTCCTATTTGAACAGCAGTCCAAAGGAAAAAAAGTAAAATGTCTTTGCCAACATCAGCAAAGATGGATGTATACTGGACAGAATATGTACAGACAAGAGTACAGAATATGAGTCAGTACAAGTTATTAGGGCCAATGCATAATCAACAAGGTGAGGCTCATCCTGGCTTGTGCTGAGTCGCTGATCAGAGTGGCTCCTTAAAATAAGCAAACCTTTACAGCAGTGGCATTACCCCGGAAATCTACATAGACCTCCCATGTCATAAGGTGTTTGGAGCTGTTCTGGTAGTACAGAACTACTTTTCCAGTTCTGTGTGTGGATAAAGGTTCTGTCCTTCGTGTATAGGTGGTGCTTAGTTGTCAGCTGAGGTTAAACCACAAGTCATCCCTGAAAATCTCTCATCTGTTTGGATAGTTTGCAAGAACTTTAGACTTCTAAGGCCCAGAGAACTCATGCAGAGTAGAAACTGATGAGAGGTCATACAGGCTATTTTGAGGTTTGGAAAAAATTAATATTGTGTATTTCCACTGACTCCATCCCCATGCTTACATATGCTAAATAAAATTGGGATACTACGGCAGAAAGTACTACAGAAGCCGGTAATTTGAGACTGAAGGACGATTAACTCATTTACTGAGCCTTGTTGCATATCCCATGCAAACAGGGTAATGCAATTCTTGCCTTGCTCACCCCCATATATCATTCTGGTAAATGTAAAATCTCGCTTGTATTATTCCTGAGGCAGATTTCAAAACGAAATATTAGAGGAAAAAAGGCTGTAGCTGAATTAATTTATTTTTTGTTAAGCTCTTATTTTATAATTCTTACGAACATTACCAACTGATACAAGCTGGAGAGAGTGTTAGTAATTATACTTCATTCCTCAGGGAAATTTCAAAAGGGAATCTCAGACACATTACAAACAGCACCGCATGAGTCAAGGGGACTGCAGCCCCCACTATCAATTTTACCGCATAATGCGCTTTCATACTACTGTTAAAGTGGTGAATAAACAATTAAGTCAGCATTTCTAGATAAGCGTTGCTAACCCCCTTCCCCCCCAGACTTCCAGTTATTGCTAAGATTCCTCCCCAACAAAAGCTTTGGGCCTCTCTAACCCTGGCATTGCTCTTCTTCATGGCCTAAGGTGCCTGATAGAGCATATGCCAAGATTTGCTCCAGAAGGAGCATTGGGCAAACCCACCTACACAATACACGTGTTCTCCCGCTGGCAAAGATGGTTCTGGGCTGCCTGCATCACACCCAGTTGTTTATGGAGCATGCACTTTTTTTCTTAGTAGACTTTTCAATGTAGTGGTAGCTTAAAATGCAGCTGCCCCCAGAACAGCTTAAAATATAGCTGCCCACAAAACAAAATTGTGCTTCCAGATAGCACTGCATCAGCTGAAACTCTCCCTGTAAGCTCAACTCAGCATCTGTAAGATAGGGCAGGGTACACAAACACAACTTGACAGTGCCCCCCCCCAGCTGAAAAGAATAAATGCTCCATGTGAAATATGTCTTGCCAAGCAGAGCTAAGAACCCAGGATCCTAACTTATGGACAGAGAGCAAATTCCCAGTGGGAGATGGGATAGGTTCCCCGCTCACAGCATACCCACACCGTTACAACATCTCAGGTAAAAAGGCTGCTCTAAACCAGCCAGGAGCTGGATGAGCTTCCTGGATAGCTCCATGCCAGTGAATATGCTATCTCATCTCAGAATTTCTGCATCCAGAGGTGACACTATTTGCAGCATCTGATTTGGAAACAGGTCTGAAAACCTGCACCACATTTCAACCTTGACTAGACCTTGCACTTTCTGTGGGATGTGCCACTATCACCACTTGTCTAATTCGGTAGAAATAACATATTTTATGATCTAAATTAAACTGTGCTCCTCTTGGTGGAAATACTGCTTTGGGTGAATAGCGGTTGACTGTGGCTGTGAAGGAGCAGCAGGATCTGGTGCCTCCACTGGACAGGCTGGAGTCCTGCACCCACCCTAACGCATGAAACAGCATGTAAGGCAGGCCTTTGATCTAAACAGGCCCAAATAAGGACTTCAACCCAAGAATGGAAAGCACTACTCCACGTACCTCTCAGGAATGAACTTCTCAGGCTCTGGCCAGAACTCAGGGTTGTGGTGGAGATATCCAACTGCGGTTTCAATGACAGCCCCAGCTGGAATACGCTGCCCCAGCACTACACAGTCTTTAGCTGCTTCCCGAGTGAACCTGCAACAGTAAGTGTCATGTATCCCAGATGATTAATAAAGGTAGAAACACAGCAGGAGGGAACCATAGAAGTCAATCTCTTCAGCTGGACTGACCCCGCAATTTCGGAAGTAACACTTTCCCAGAAGATAAATACAGCAACCATAGCTGATGCTAGTGCCTTCTCAGGTTACAATCATCTCCACCTAGAAGCACGCAGCTCCAACCCAGCTGGCTAACTTTCGCCCTTTTCACAGTAAAGCATTTCTGGTTGCTCATGGTTTTCTAAAACGTTAACTGTTAAACTGCAATTTTGCTGCTAATGTTGGTTTTAGACTCATTTTTTATGAAAACTGCAGATTAAACGTGCCAGTCATCTCTAATAATAGGCAGAAGGAGTATGCTGGTTTGCCTTCAGAAAAAATTAAATTAAATATAGGGTTTGAGTTTATTTATTTGAGAAGCTTCCCCATGTTGGGACAGCACCTGAAATTTAGCAAGAGATGGTTTTAATGTTAGGGCTAAGTGTTCTGCTGCTGCTACAAAAATACAACCAATTCACAAGCCTTGGAAAACTGCAGCTCACATACACTCATCAAAGGTAGGCATGACGTTAGCAACAAAACTCTCCAGTTTCCTCCCACCCTGTGGTGACAGGTGACAGTGTAGGACTGTCCTTAGGAATCTCATAGTGACAGTAAGACTGAGAAAAGCCACCTGCCAAAGCTGAGCTTGGGTCTGTGAACCTTGTAAAAAAATGGCGTGTGGGTATGCACGTGTGGTGGCAATCCTGATCTAGATCTTTTGGTGCTTGGGTGGTTGCTACAGACCCCAAACCAGCCCAGACCCAGGCGGATGCCCTGCTATCTCAGCCTAGGAGCTATTCCCTGGCACCAGCTGGGAGCACAGGGGCGAGACAACCGGATGCCCTGCTATCTCAGCCTAGGAGCTGCTACCAGCTGGGAGCACAGGGGTGAGACAATGTGCAGGAGCTCCCATTGCTGCTCCCCGCACTGTGCCTAAAAAGTTGAACAAAGATTTCAGTTTCAAGCCTGTCAATCTGGTATCATTACAGGAACACATTCTTTCCTCGCTGTCATCCGTCTCCCTCTTTCTCATAGACAAATAAATAACAGAGGCTCCAAACCTGGAACAAAACACTGGCATGCTAAAAAACACAGACAAGCCATTCTTCTCACCCTTACATGAATTTGGTGATAGTGGAAACATGAGTTCTGTGGAAGAAAGTTCTCTGGCTAATAAATTAATTTTTTAAAAAAACGCCTCATTTTATAACAAGCTTGGCTGCTACTGAATTTTCCCTTAACTCAGCATTATCCTTGTCATGGGCAATTAGCATCTTTCCGGGCTGTCCTATCCATTCCCCATCCATCAGAGTAAAAGCCAGATCAATAAACACCACCAACATTGCCAATCGAAACTTTGGAACAACTTTGCTCCATTCTCATTCTCTTTCCCGTCTGACAAACATTGATTGTTTCCCAGTGTTTCAGCTGAAACTCAGAGATCCCTGACGCTTTAACTGGCAAAACAATTTCCACTTGTATACCATGTATAACATAGTAAAGCCTAGTCATCTTATCCAGGAGCAAGTATCTTTGACATTTACCCTCTGAACAATCCTGTAGATGTCCATTGAAAAATCTTGACTTCCTATCTTTGTGAACATATAAAAGAGAATATGATTTTAAGCTTCTTTATTTTAAGGTACTTGCAATCGTGGGGTAAATTTTTCAAAGGCTGTCACAGCAAGCTCAGCTTTGGCTCCTTTCCAGTCATCTGAGATCTTCCCCCGGCTTCACGAGAAGCAGTGCAACAGGCTGACCCCTTCGAAAAGTTCCATTCTTAACGTTTGCATTTATGCTTGTGATAATGTGGAAATTTGACAATCAAACAGCTTTCTAACTTCTTTCCCCCTTGTTTTCAGTTCATCAATATAACTTAGTAAAATTAGTCTTGTGTGAATTGGGGCAAAACTTTCAAAATTGAATGGATGTAGCCATTAGCTTAGCTATATTAGTATA